TGTAATCTATAGATATGCAAAATAAACAGTTTAGCCAATGTTTTTGCAGAGGGAACCTTCGAACAAGGTATGAAGTGTACTTGCTTGGAAAACAAATCGGTTACCACTCAGATAACCGTGTTTCCGCTGCTTTCGGGTAATTCCACTATAAAGTCCATAGAGATTTCCCTCCATGGAGCCGTTGGTCTAGCCACATTTTGTAACAATCCTGTTGGCTTACCAGGAGGTCTTTTTGCTGATGCACAAATCGAACAGCTAGCCACATAAGTTTCAATGCCCTTCTTCAACGTGGGCCACCAGAATTGCCGCTTAACCAGGTGTAAGGTTTTCACGAATCCAAAGTGACCAGCTGCTTTAGAATCATGAGCTTGTTGTAATATTTGGCTCCTCAGTTTCTCTGGCACATACAACTTGGTTCCCACCCAGGCCAATCCATCTCTAACTGTACAGTTATTCGAATGAGCCAGGAACCACTCATCAAGTTTTAGAGCCTCTTTCAGTTGTGCAGTCAAACCATTCGATAAATCCACATCTTGCTTCTTCTTTTGAGCTCTAGTAACTACTGGAGCTGCTAGCTGTTTGGTTGAGACAATCGGCCGTATTACTTCCTGGCGAGCACTATTATATTGAGGTAGTCTAGATAGAGCATCCGCCATGAAGTTCCTCCCCCCTGGTATGTACTTCAATGAGAAATTAAACCATTTAAAGTACTGGGCCCAGCGAACTTGCTTGGGGGACAGCTTCCAAGGCGTTTTTAAGGCCTCCAAATTCTCATGATCAGTCCATACCTCAAACGGGTGTTTTGCTCCTTCCAAGAAATGTCTCCAAGTCAGTAGAGCCCAGCAGACTGCAAAAGCTTCTTTTTCCCAGACGGCCCACCTTCTTTTGGTTTCAGATAGTTTATGGGAAGTATAGGCACAGGGTTGTAAAATCCCTTTCTCATTGATTTGAAGTAACACCGCTCCAACAGTGACATCACTCGCATCGGCTTGGATCATGAAAGGAGCATCCATGTCCGGGTGCTTTAGCACTGGTTCTGCAGCAAACAGTCATTTCAGCTTTTCAAAGGCCGCTTGGCACTCCATGGACCACTCTAATGGTTTGCTAGGCCTTGGCTTCGCCTCCCCTTTTGTTTTTAAAAGGTTTGTGATAGGCATTGTTATCTTAGCAAAAGCCGGGATAAATTGCCAGTAGAAATTGGCGAATCCCAAGAAACTCTGAAGTTGTTTTCTAGTGCGTGGGGGGGGGGGGCATTCCAACACGGCACGCACTTTCCCTGGATCCATTTCTATGCCCTCATGTGAGATGCGATACCCCAAATAGTCAATTTTCTCTTGATGGAACTCACATTTGGACAGTTTAGCATACAACTTAGCGGCTCGGAGTTTCTCTAACACTGACCGCACTAGTTTCACATGTTCATCCCAAGTCTCCGTGTAGATAAGGATGTCATCAAGGTAAACCAAAAAACCCTTGTATAGATGCTCATGTAACACCTGATTAATCATCTGCATGAATACGGCTGGGGGCCCCTGTAGGCCAAATGGGAGAACGTTGAATTGGAAACAACCCATTGGGCAGTTAAAAGTGGTTTTCCATTCATCTCCTTCCTTAATTCGAATTTGGTAGTACGCTTCTCTCAAGTCTAGCTTTGTAAAAAAATTTCCCTTGGCCAGGTGGGCCAGCATGTCCTTCATCAGGGGGAGGGGGTACACGTTTTCAACAGAAATAGCGTTCAGGTTTCTATAGTCAACCATCAAGCGCATGGAGCCATCTTTCTTTTCGCGGAACAATACTGGGGCCGCTACCTGGGGTCTAGCGGGTTGGATGAAACCACGTTTCAAATTTTTATCGATAAACGACCGCAGCTCTTCTAATTCCCGTGGTGTCATCGAATATAACTTTGGTTTCGGGAGCTTCACTCCAGGTAAAATTTCAATACTACAATCTGTTGACCGATGAGGGGGAAGCTCATCCGAGGCCTTCTCACTGAACACTTCCTTTAAATCCCAATATTCCGCCGGAATTTTCTCCTCCCCCTTCAAGTTCTCGGTACCTGTGGAGGCTAACTCAACCGGACTCTGAAACTTCAGCTGAGATCGCCCCTCCCTTTCCGGCCGCTGGTTGGTACGTATGCACAATGACCCCTTCCTCCAGTTGACGTGGGGGTTCCACTTCCGGAGCCAGGGTAATCCCAATATTAGCGGTTGCTCCATCCCAGGGGCCACAATAAAGCACAGGGTCTCTTTATGCTCTCCCATGGTCATTTCTATGGGTTCCGTTATGAAGCGTGCAGGGCAGCCCCCCGCCACTGATCCATCCAATTGGCAAAAGGCTATGGGCGTTTTTAAAGGTTTTAGTCTTAAGCCCATCTTCTCTACTACTCCCGTGTTGATTACACACCTCGTGCACCCAGAGTCTAGCAAGGCTAGCATTTCCCCTTCAGCCCCCGATGTGGGTACCCTTAACTTCACTGGAATGGTCATAGGGCCCTTGTTTGGACTTACCAGGGAGTCGTCTTCCGAATCGGATTCACTCTCTTCAGAGGAGGTCGGAGGTCCCAGCTCCTCTCCTTCCGGAGGGGCGACCTCTACAACCTCCCTCGCCTTTAGCGCCATTTTGCGAGGTTTCACTGGGGTTTTTTCAGGCTTCTTCCCTCCCCTTGGCGCCCCCTTTGGTTCCAACTTGGCCCTGCAGTCCGCAGCCCGGTGATCTTCCTTTCCACATTGGAAGCAGGCAGTGGTCTTGGGTCTTGCCGCTATCCCTCCCTTTTGGGGCTTGAGGACTTCTTGAGGACGTGAGGGGGAGGGCCTTATCCAACCAGAGCCCCCCCCCTGGCATCTGTTTCGGGTTAGGTCCATTTCCACCTCTTCTGCCAGCAAGTACCACATCTTCAAATCATTTGGGTCCCATCTGGCAATGCATCTCTGGTATACATCTTCATTTAATCCATCTTTAAACGCTTCTATCAGGGCTCCCTGGGACCAGCCTCGGATATGACACGCCAGCTCTCTAAATTCCTGGGTGTAGTCGGCCACCGATCTCCTCCCTTGATTTATGGTCTTCATCCTGATCCTGGCCTGACGCTCCGCCAGCGGGTCCTCAAACCTTGCCCTCAGCGCAGTCATGAACAGGTCATAATTCAACAGCTGGGGAGCATTATCATTATGCAAAGTCACCATCCACTTTGCAGCTGTTCCCTCCAGAGCCCTGGTAACACATCTCACTTTGGCTGCTTCTGAGGAAAAATCCCTTCCGTATTCTTCCATATAGCTCCAAACTTGTGCTAGGAAAACCCCCAACTCTTTGGGATCTCCCCCATATTTTACTTCCAACGGAGGCAACTTGGGAGCTCTACGCCTTCTAGGAATTACACCTCCTGCTGGGGGCCCCGGGGCTGCTGCTGGCTGTTGCGCCGGCCCAGGTTGATTTATGGGGGTGGCTGCTCGGCTTCTTCTGGCTGGGGCTGCCTCCCCCTTTCCCTCATCCCTTTGTGCAGTGTGAGGTTCTCCAAAGGCCTCATTGAGGAGGTGCCTGGCTTGGTTCAGTAAAAAGTCTCTCCTTTCCCTGTCTTGCCATGGCTTCTCTCTCCCACGCCGGTGGGTGGTGGTGACTCCTGGTGCAGGGGCCTCCTCCGGATCCTTCTAGCCGACTCCCCATGACCACTTGGGCTTCACAGCTGGGTTGTCTTCCAGATTGAGCTCTGCTACTAATTCAGCTTCCCGTGCCTCCTCCAGCAGCAAAGACTCTTGCCCTCCAATGGCGCCCAGGTCTTCCTGGTCACTGGCTGGAGTTGACATGATGTTCAGACCCCTCGGAAGAAATTGGATTATTTCTCCAGGTGGGCTGGTAGAGTGAGATTCAGAATAATGTCAGACAGTGCTCCATTCAAAATCCAAGAAAGAAATACTTAGACTCTTTTAATTAGAGAAAAGATATCTTTTACTGGAAGTCAAGTGGTAGCAACAAAAGAATTCTGAATCTGAGAAAATAGGCGCGTGAACCACATATACAAAGTGATGGAAATGTTCCCACCTCCAATAGTTCAGATGGTTCTTCCAATTACAAGTTGTGAATATGATCACATGGACATCCTCAGGTGGTGATGAGGCTTCTGTCCGTTGACCTTGGCATACTTTGATAAAAGTTTGCAGTTGCGCAGAGGAAAGAAAGCTAAGCAAGAAATAGAAACCTAAGCAGGAATGTCCTCTCCCCCCTCCTCATTTTATACAACACTAGAATGTAACACCTCCAGCTCGCTTCCCAGACTTTACCCCCCTCCTCCCCCCGTTACTTATGACAGCCGAAAGATGCAAAGCAATAGTAGAAGATCTTGAAGGCTGACAATACTTTTCTGAATCCTCGGTGAGGGGTATCTGCCAAAACCCCACGTTGGCGGCTAATTTACTGAACATTTTAGCACCAGCCAGTGTTCCAAGACTCTGTTCTACTGATGGTAAAATGTATTTTTCACGACACACACATACTTGTTCAAGACAGTCAGGTCCACACAGAAACGCACCTTTTTGCTGTCCTTCTTGGGCACCACTACCATGCCTGCGCACCAGTCCGTAGGCTCTTCCACACGAGTGATTACTCCCAGGTTTTCCATGCGTTGAAGCTCATCTTTGACTTTCCCCATCAATGGTAGGGGAATCCTCTTTGGGGTTTTCAAAGAGAAAGGCACAGCATCGGGTTTGAGCTTAATACAATAAGGTTGTCGAACCTCCCCTTGGCCGCTGCATAGCTTAGGGTAGCTTGACTTCAGGTTTTCCACATCAATAGTGTCCACACGAACCAACAGACCAAGAGCTACAATAGCTGGCAGTCCCAGCAAAGGCATACTCAGGTTTTTGACCACATACACCTTCTCTGTAATTTGTTTTGCTCCTTTCTTTAGCTGTAGTTTGGCAAACCCCATCACTTCCAGTGGCATTCTCCCTGGACCCAGTAGAGGTCTCTCTGCTTTTTGCAGCACAGGCACCTGTGTGTTGTGAAAAATGTTGGCGAAATTCTTCTGTGAAACGACAGTGACATCTGCTCCGGTATCCAACTTGAATGTGATGTCTTTATCCATCATTCTGATTTCCACAGTCCATGGATCAGCATGTGATGTCACAGAGCTGAGAAAGAAGCTTCTCCCCTCTTCCTCAATGCCATGCACCGCCTTGCTTGCAAAACATACACGTTGATCGTGACCCTTTTCCCCACACGGATGGCATTTAGCGTCCTTAGCAGGACATTCCTGTCTAGGGCGAAGCATGCCACCGCATTTGTGACACTGGGGGTCTTTAGTGTTTTTGTTCTGCCTGCTTTGAGGCTTTGCTCCATCGTTCTTTGATCTGCTGAATTTTTTGCTTTTCTTTCTGATGCCTGCCTTTAAACTGTCTGTCCAAAGAGTTCACGTCCTTTAGGTTTACAGCGCTAGCATCACATCTCAGTGTGGTTTGCTGTTTTTTAATCTCCTCTGATGGTCTTGCCATATTGATAGCTTTATCCAGGTCTAGGTCTTTTCCCATTTGCGTGCGTTCTGATAGCCGTGTATCGACCAAGCCTACTACAATCCTGTCTCTGATGAGCTCGTCATGTAGTGCTCCATAGTTACAGTGTTCTGCTAATGCATGCAGCGCTGTGACAAATGCATCAACTGTCTCATTTGCTTCTTGTTTGCGCATATTAAATCTTGCACGCTCATGCACAATGTTTTTTTTCACTACAAAGAATGACTGAAAGCCGTCTCTTACTTTAGTACACTGACGCTGATCAGCTTCACTGAGTTTCAGGCCACGCAGAACATCATCTGCTTCGTCTCCCATACAGTAAATCAAAGTGTTCACCTGATTTTCTTCAGAGTTTATTACAAGATTGCTTGCTTGCCTAAATCTCTCGAATCGCCGTATCCATTTTATCCACTCATTTGCTTTGGAAAAATCAACGGGCTCCGGTGGTTGGGTGTTAAAAGTAGCGCTGGGTGTGCTAGCCAATCAACAGGTTCCATTTACCCTACACCCCACTCCCTTCTAGCACAGAGGGTGTTATGCAGTTAGATCATGAAACGTCTCCAAGAAAACCACCAAGCTCAGAGAGCACCAAGGACCCCACAGTCCTCCTCCTCCTCCTCCTCTTTTTCCTCCTCATCTTTCTTTTCCTTCCCTTTCTCCTCCCTTCTAACACTGATGACGTTCCCTAGTTGGGTCATGAAATGTTTGCAAGAAAACCACCAAGCTCAGAGAGCACCAAGGACCCCACAGTCCTCCTCCTCCTCTCTGCAAACCCCTCCTCCTTTCTACCACTGAGGATGTCACTTAGCTGGGTCACGAAACGTCTGCAAGGAAGCAACCAAGGACCCAAAGCATCCACAGTGGATGATGGTGCTCCCAGAGTCTTGTGTGGCTCCTTCGCTCCCCGTTTCAGGAAAGCGCTTAAAACTTGATGCCCGGTTGGGACGTTTTCCAATCGATGGGCAGGAGAGTCCCTTTCAATATTGCTTTAGGGACAGGAGTGTCCTGCCCTGGCTACTTTAAGACTTGTGGACTTCAACTCCACTGGGAGTTAAAGTCCACAAGTCTTAAAGTAGCCAAGGCAGTGGACACCCGTTTTAAGCCACCGCCAAGGGTCATCCCTCCAAACTCCTTTGACTGAGGTTCACTAAATGTTCCATATCATGTCGGTCTCATCAGACCCCAGTTCAGCGATGAAGGACTGGGAAATGACAGGTGGCCTCCAGTCTCCTCCTCCCACACCTACTAGGTCTAGGTTTGCTCATTCCCACCACCATCAGTGGCTCCTTACCTTCCCAACAGGTACAGTTGAGGACAGTGGCCAGGAGATCTTGGCCACCCATCCACCGGAACGCAACCAACCATGGACTTGGAAGGAAATCCAGAGATGTCTCTCCTTCTGGGACAGGCCTTCAGAAGATCCCCTTCCCTGTCATGCCCCTGTCGGAATCTGATTCGGAGCGGGAGGCCGAACAGACAAGGAGTGGGAGTGTGGCTCCATTGGCTGTGGAAGAAGGGCACAGTCCGGCTGGGTAGAAGGGAAGGGAAGAGGTAGAACAAGGCAGAGGGAGTTCAGAGGAAGACCCAGCTCCACCCCCTCTTCATCCTAGGGCATGCAGGGAGGAACGGAGAAGGGAGCAACGTGGGTTGCATGGCTTACAGGGGAGGAAAGGGCCCTGATACCCTTCATTAGCTGCAGCTGGGAGCACAGTGTTTAAAAAGGGAAGTTGTGCACAGGAAGTTGTTGGGAGCAAATCGTGAATTATCTAGTATCATCTAGGCTTATCTGGCATCTTGCCAACTGTGTTTGTTTCCAAGTCTGAAATTCCTGCTCCTCCCCTGCCAAACTAATTACTTCAGTTTGGTTTGTTTGGATTTTAAATTACAGTTTGTGTGTCCCTTGTTTTGGACTGAATTTTCTACAGTCAAAGGATGTTCCTGGGAGAGTTTTTCTCCAGCTGAAGGTAACCTGGACATTGGGGGCAAAGTTGGAGATAATAAAGGGACTCTTATTGCTTATCTGACTGTGTTGCCTTTGTGCCACGCCCCTTTGGGTCATCCCGGCACCCCCTTTCCTCCTTCATCTCTTGCAGATCTTGAAAGACCCCAGCAAGCCCAAGGCCAAAGGAAACTTCTGGACCGTCGATGTGGACCTCATCCCCCCAGAAGCCCTGAAGCTGCAGAACACAGCCGTCTCCCGCCAAGAGGAGAGAACCTTCGCGGTGGACCTGGCTCCATTCGTCTACCATGGCTGGGCTTTCCAAGCCCCCCAGCCTGCCCTCAATGGGGCTGACCCGGAGGCGAGTGGGTTCCCAAGCAGCGAAGGGGGCCGCCAGAGCAGCCCCTTCAGCATCGATGCCTTGCTCCATGACTTCCAGGGTGTGGGTCTCTCAGGGAAAGCAAGGACCGAGAGCCCCGCAGCAGCCTCCAAAGTCTGGGGCACCGTCCCCATCTTCCGGGTCTCCTCGGGTGCCCCCCTCCTCCCCTGGCGGGCCCCAGGCCCTCTGCCCATGCTCCGCTCCCTCTCGTCCTCCAGCAGCCCTGCCTCCCTCAGCTCCTTATCCCCCAACGAAGAGCCCAAAATGGCGGCCAGCGCCTCGATTTTGGCCAAGCGCCCCAGAATCCTCCAGCCGCCCCCCGAGACCAGCGATTCTGACTCCAGGGAGGGCACTCCGCCCCCTGCTGCCCCATTCTGGGAGCAGCTCCCTACTTCCTACACCCCCTGTCTGGCTCCCAATGTGGTGGTGGCGGCACCTCAAAGCCACGGGCTGTTCTTCCCCCCCAACCCAGCCCTCCCCCCTTATGGCCCCATGCCTTTCCCACACCCAGCCTACTGGGAGCTGATGTCCCGGTCCTCCCTGAGCCCAGGTTCCTCCTCCAGGGTGGACTTGGGCCTAGAAGAAGCCATGCCTCCCAACAAGACCGTCTTTGACGTCTGGATGAGCCATCCCATGGACATCGTCCACCCGGCCTTTCCCCAGAGGAGCCCTTCCCCCCAGAGCTCAGTCGTGACCCACTACAACCCCTCCTGAGGGCAGCCTTTTGGCAAGAGGGGTGGGTAGATGGTCAGACATGACAGCTAGGCTATTTGGCCAGCAATGACCACCCTATCTTCTTCTCGGCCTTTCAACTCCATAGGACAGGGGTCTCCAACCTTGGTCACTTTAAGACTGGTGGACTTCAATTCCTCCACCAGTCATGTTAGCTCAGGAATTCTGGGAGTTGAAGTCCACAAGTCTTAAACTTGCCAAGTTTGGGGACCCTTGGTTTAAAATATAAAGAGGCCTCTAGTCAGGGGTCTCCAACCTTGGCCACTTGAAACCCGGTGGATTTCAACTCCCAGAATTCTGGGAGTTGAAGTCCATAGTTCTTAAAGTGGCCAAGGTTGGAGACCCCTGTTCTAGCTACTCCAAGGAAGTTCTAGGTCAGAGGTCTCCAAACGTGGCCACTTTAAGAACTATGGACTTCAACTCCCAGAATTCTTCTTCCAGTCATGTACGCTCAGGAATTCTGGGAGTTGAAGTCCACAAGTCTTAAACTTGCCAAGTTTGGGGACCCCTGCCATAGAACAACCCAACAGTCACATAACAACCCAACCAGGACAACCCAATAGTTACATAAGAGCCCAACCAGGAGAAACCCATCCAGATGTTCCTGCTCTACCTCTTCAGGAGAACAGCAACCCTCAGTCCTTTGGACCAGCTATCTCCATCCGGAACCATCTTATCCACCATCCAGGTCATGGTTGTCCCAAAAGTCTTTTTCCAAAAGGCAACTCCTCGGTTTTCTTCCTTGAAAACATTTCACTTCTCATCAAAGAAGCTTCTTCAGTGCTGAGGACTGAATTCCAGGAGTAGAAGCCCACCAGATCTCCAAGGTTTAACCTATCACCCACAAGACCAGGAAACTGGTCTCCACCCATGGCCAGGATTCCAGGCTCGGGCCCAAAGTCACGTTTTCCAGGCTTTACCGAAGGCCAACAGGGAGAGAGCTAACTTGATCTCAGGGGAAGGGATGTTGACAAGAGCCCTGCCAGCTGATCCTCCTTGATGGTACCCAGAGAACCAAAGAAGCGAAAGATGTCTCCAAGGAAATGGTCAAGAAAGCCCTTTGGGAGAACCAAATGCTCCTTTTCAAGAGAGGGCATATCCCATAACCAATGCGAGAGGGAGAACCTGCTGGACCAGGTTCTGAGCACACACACACACCCCCAATAAAGCCAGAGGGCACCAGGAAGAGGAGGAGGAGGAGGGCTGGGCCTTCCTCTTTGGATTGCTTGCTTGAGGTTGAAGGTTCAAACAATGGACCAGATGAGGACGAGCGCTTTGCTCCTCCACATCCTTCCTGCAGAGCTTCAGCATCCAGGGAAGAAATGCATTAATTGGAAGCTCCAAACTGGTGCCAAATGCAGCGGTTACTGGTGCCACTCTGCTTTGTGAGTGCTTCTGGGCGCAATTCAAGGTGCTGGTTTTCACCTTTATAGCCCTTCATGGCTTAGGATCGGGTTGCTTGAGGGACCGTCTCTTTGCCCAGTTGATTCTACCTGCCTTACCCAATTTGGCAGGAAGGGTCTTCTTTGGGTACCATCGACGAGGGAGGGTCAGCTGGCAGGAGCCCCAAAGGAGCCCCACTGAGATTAGATTTTCCGCCTCTCTCTTGGCCCCTCCTAAGGCCTGGAAAACTTTGTCCCTGAGCCTGGAGTTCTGGATATGAGTTAGACCCCGTCTCCTGGTCATGTGGATGATCGGTTAAATCTGGAGTGGCCAAGACTGGACATCCTTGGGTTAGATTATGCCCAGTTGCTATACCTTTCTATTTCTATTGGTTTTTTTCATTGTGTTTTATGGTTCTTTCATTTTATTGTGAGCCACTGAAGGGTCAGGCCAACCTAAAAGAGACGACTGCACCAATCAAGTCAATAAATAAAAACATCGCTGTTAAAATGACTCTGCTCCTTGTTGTAAGTACTTCCATCCTCTCAGAGAAACTGCGGTGGGAGATGCCAGATTTTACACCACTTCCCTCCTCCCCCTGGAGAACCCGACTATATTCCCAGTAAGTCCTCAGGTTATAACCCTAATCTGGCCCAGGCTTTCCATTGCTAAGAGAAGCCGTCCTTAAGTGAAGCACCACCTGACCACACAGCATTGCAACTGCAGTTCCAACAAGTTGTAAGTGCTCCATCCCGGGAGGTTTTGAAGAAGAGACTGGACAACCATTGGTCTAGAAGGGTATAAAGGCTGAGCCATGCTGGCTGGGGAATTCTGGGAGTTGAAATCCAGAAGTTTTAAAAGTTCCCGAGGTTGGACAGCCTTACCCTATACCAGGGGTCCCCAAACTTGGCAACTTTAAGACTTGTGGACTTCAACTCCCAGAATTCTCCATCCAGCTAAGTTGGCTGGAGAATTCTGGGAGTTGAAGTCCACAAGTCTTAAAGTTGCCAAACAGATAGATAATCAGAGTTGGAAGGGACCTTGCAGGTCATCTAGTCCAACCCCCTGCCCAAGTGGGAGACTCTACACCAGTTCTGACAGATGGCCGTCCAATCTCTTCTTGAAAGCCTCCAGGGATGAAACTCCCACAACTTCAGAGGACAACTTCTGTTCCATTGGTTGATTGTTCTCACTGTCAGAAAGTTTCTCCTTATTTCCAGGTTGAATCTCTCCTGGATCAGTTGCCATCCATTATTATTCCTTCTCTGGCCTTCGGGTGCCTTGGAGAATAGTTTTACTCCTTCCTCCTCTCTGGGGCAGCCCCTCAAATATTGGAAGACCGCTATCATGTCTCCCCTGGTCCTTCTCTTTACTAGACTAGCCAAGCCCTGTTCCTGCAACCGTTCATCATAGGTTTTAGCCTCATCATCCTGGTTGCTCTTCTCTGTACTTTTTCTACAGTCTCAACATCCAAAAAAACTGTCATTGTATCCTCCTCTCGACCCTGTGATTGTAACTTAGGTGCATCTTTGACAGCTGTCACGTCCCGCCCCCCCCCCCCCAGCCACATTTTCCCACTCTGTGCAATCTGCCCGTTTCAACTCCTTCCTCCCCCAACCTCTCTGCCCTTTTGGTCGTCCTGCCCAACATGGCTGAACTGGAAGCCCCTCAATTCTGCTGGTACCCCTTATCCTGACCATCCCTGTTCCCCGATCAGTGAGACAGGTGGCCTATAAATGTAATAAATATCTTTGACTACAACAATTGCTTTGGCTCCCTTCCTTTCCTCCTCAAGCGGGAGGCACGAGGCTTTGGATGGAGGTCCCAGGAAGTCCCTGTTGCCTTGGCCACAGCTTCCCCTGGTCTTCTGTGAGGGCCAAACAGTCCTTGATCAGCCCTGATCCTGAATCCCGGAGGATTCCATGGGAGGGTGATGGAGGAGCTGTAAATAGGGGCTTCCTTCAACTCTTTCTCTCTCACACCTCCCTTCTTTCCCTCAGATAATTTACTCACTCCATCTATGGAGATTCTCCATCCTTCAGGTCCACTTTTGCCCCAAAAGTGCTTTTTATTTTTCCCCAAGAGGCAACTGGACTTTCTGGTTTTTTTCCTTTGAAGACAGTTCGCTTCTCATCCAAGGAAGCTTCTTCAGCTCTTCTTCATCATCTGAAGAAGGTTCTTGGGTGAGAAGCAAAATGTCTTCCAAGAAAAAAAAACAAGAAAAGTCCAGTTGACTCTTGAAAAAAAAAAAAAAAAGCACCTTTGGGACAACCAGGACCTGGAGGACGGAGAATCTCCATAGACATTTAGTGTTACCAGCTCGGCATTTCTCAACCTGGGTGAGTTGAAGATGAGCAGACTTCAACTCCCAGAATTCCCCAGCCAGGGCATGATTTCTGGGAGCTGAAGTCTGCCTGTCTTACATTTGTCAAGGTTGAGAAACACGGAAATGGCTGTATGACAAAGAAAACGCCATCCCCTCTAAAAATAGAGGAACATAATAGAATAAAACAGAATTCTTTTATTGGCCAAGTGTGATTGGACACACAAGGAATTTGTCTTTCGTGCAAATGCTCTCAATGTACATAAAGGAAAAGATACATTCATCAAGAGTCAAGAATCACCAGGTACAACACTTAATAATGGTCATAGGGTACAATAAGCAATCAAATCAGATAGATATAGAAAACAAAAGAAAGAAAGAGAGAGAGAAAGAGAGAAAGAAAGAATAGAATAGAATTCTTTTATTGGCCCAGTGTAATTGAACACATAAGGAATTTGTCTTTGGTGCAAATGCTCTCAGTGCACACAAAAGAAAAGATACATTCGTCAAGAGTCAAGAATGATCAGGTACAACACTTAATAATAATAGTCATAGGATACAAATAAGCAGTCAAATCATACTAGGAAATAGTCAATATAAATCGTAAGGATACAAGCGACAAAGTTACAGTCATACAGTCACAAGTGGGAGGGGATGGGAGATAAGGAGTGGTGAGAAGATTAATAGTAATAGTAGTGCAGATTTTGTAAATAGTTGGACAGTGCTGAGGGAATTATTTGTTTGGCAGAGTGATGGCTTTTGGGGAAAAAACTGTTCTTGTGTCTAGTTGTTCTGGTGTGCAGGGCTCTATAGCGTCATTTTGAGGGTAGGAGTTGAAACAGTTTATGTCCAGGATGTGAGGGGGTCTGTAGATATTTTCACAGCCCTCTTTTTGACTCAGGGTGCAGTATACAGGTCCTCGATGGAAGGCAGGTTGGTAGTAACTGTTTTTTCTGCAGTCCTAATTCTCCTCTGAAGTCTGCGTCTGTCCTGTTGGGTTGCAGAGCCAAACCAGACAGTTATAGAGGTGCAGATGACAGAATCCATCATTCCTCTGTAGAACTGGATCAGCAGCTCCTTTTGGGCAGTTTGAGCTTCCTGAGTTGGCGCAGAAGGAACATTCTTTGTTGTGCTTTTTTGATGATGTTTTTGATGTTAGGTGTCCATTTTAGATCTTATGATATGATGAAACCTAGAAATTTGAAGGTCTCCACTGTTGATACTGTGTTGTCTAGTATTGTAAGAGGTGGTAGGATGGGAGGGTTTCTTCTAAAGT